TCTGTGCCCCAGACAAGCTGGTTCTCAAAGTCAGAGACTCTCTTGGTCAGCTTGCTTCTCACACCAAACCTTCCGTCAGGAATCTTGGCGTGACCTTTGACCCAACTCACCCTGGATTCTCATGTCAGTTCTCTTGTTCGCTCTTCCTTCTTCCATCTCAGGAACATTGCTAAGCTGAGTCCCATTCTGTCCCGCTCTGAACTTGAGACTGTTCTCCACACCTTCATCTCCTCACACTTAGACTACTGTAACTCTCTTTTCACGTGTCTGAGCAGAACCTCCCTGAACGTCTACAGGTGGTTCAGAATGCCTGTGCTCAGCTTCTGACCAAGTCCTCCAAACACACCCACATCACCCCGCTTCTCCTCCAGCTTCACTGGCTGCCAGTCAACTTCAGGGTTCATTTCAAGTTCCTGGTTCTGGTCTATAGGGCCTTACATGGACAAGCACCATCTTACATTGGTGATCTTCTTAGTCCCTACACCCCAGCAGGTCCCTGAGGTCCAGTGATCAAAGCCTACTGGTTGTGCAGCACCGGGCTAAAGACCAAAGGTGACAGATCATTTGCTGCTGCGACCCCCAGACTCTGAACTCTCTCCCCTGAGCCTGAGATCAGTGGACTCAGTGGTCTCCTTTTAAAAAGCAGCTGAAGACTCACTTGTTCAAGCTGGCTTTTGGATGACCTTCTTCACCACTCTCTCTTTATTCTGCTCTCTCCCCACCTATTCCACCTTCCTCAGGATCCACTGATTTCCCTCTTTCCTATTCACTCTCTCTCTCTTTCTTATCCTTTTTTCTTTTAAATCGCAATTGCCTATTCTTGCTCATTTAAAATATATTTTTAAACATTTTCGAAATGCTTTTTTATATTTTTTGTTTTGTGAAGCACCTCGTGATTTTTATCTTAAGAGGCGCTATAGAAATGATATTTTCTTCTTCATCTTCTCTCTCTCTCTCTCTCTCTCCTCTCTCTCTCTCTCTCTCTCTCTCTCTCTCTCTCTCTCTCTCTCTCTCTCTCTCTCTCTCTCTCTCTCTTTCATATCCACTCAGACACACACAGTATTCGCCTCCTCCCCCTAGGGGGGCGTTATCCAGTGCTAACGATCCAGGACTGTCACTCCTGCTGGGATGGATGAGCCAGCAGACCCGGCACAGGGAGCCTCATTAGGATTCCTTTTTAAATCCGTCTCTGACAGGACCGGCCGGAGAACAGGAAGCCCCCCTCATGCTTGCATTGTGGAAATACACTCACCACATAGAGAATACCTAAAGATCACTCAAACACTGCAGTCTGCACACTGAGCCCCGTCTGCACGTACACACACCTACTGTTATGCTAATGATGTCTTATTCTCGTACCTACGAGGATCCTCCATCATCCTGGTGTCACTGCTTATAGAAATCCACTACAGATCATAAGAGCTTATTATGGGTGATTAGTTCATTTGAGGGAGGGATGCTGGGAGGTAGAAGGAGTAAAATCATTTCCCTTCTTGGCTCTCCCTGCTCCTCCTTCCCTCCTCAGTGAGAAAAATCGATAATCTCCTCTTTAGTCGTCTGCACTAATGAACTGCACAGTTGACACACACCTGTGTGTATGTGTGTGTGCGTGCATGCGTGTGCGTGTATGGGCGTGTGTGTGTGTGTGCATGTGCGTCTGTACGTGTGTCGCTGACCTCCTGCTGCTGTGCACGCCCTGGATGTGATACAAGTCGCGGGGTGAAAGAACATTTGTGCATGCCGCCCCAAAGCTGTGGAACTCGTTACCCATTGGAGTTCGGCAGGCTCCATAATTGGCGGTTTTTAAATCTTGTTTAAAGACCCACTTCTACGATGTGGCTTTTAGACAGTGACTCGTTTTAGTGTTTTAATGTGTTCTTAGTATTCCTCATGTTTTATCTGCTTTTTGGTCGGTATTTTTATCTTCTGTCTTAGTTGCTTAGATTGGTTGTGTTTTGGTTTAGCCTGTGCAGCGCTTTAGGCAGCTCCCATGCTGCGTTTTAAACATGCTATATGAATAAACTATGGTATGGTACGTGTGTGTGTGGGGGGGGGGGGCATGTGCGTGTGTGTGTGCTGACCTTATGTTGAGCTTATGTTAGCGTTGCTCATGGGCAGCTGCTGCAGCGGGCTTCATTCCGCGCCCTAACGACCCTCTGACAGCTCATCACCGACACACAGAAACTCAGCAGCAGCACCGACAACAGCAGCACGATTACAGAGGAGATTTGTTTATCAACCTAGACAACAATCTCTTATCTACGCTTCACCATCGCTGTAGCTTCTAGTTTTCCCCTCTACTCCTCCTTTCTCTCCTCCTTTTTCCATCTTTTTTCAATAATTATTTATTTGCTGATTTATGTATTCTCTGAATTTGACTGATTTTTACTGTTCTATTTTTTTCTCCTCTTTTCCCTCAAATGCACCTCTTCTCTCCTCTCCTCTCCTCTCCTCAGCTCTCCCAGTCTCTCCTATCCTTGTCTCTCCTTTCCTACTCTCCATGTCTCTTTTCTCTTCTCCTCTCGACTCTCCTCTCCTCCTGTCCTCCTCTGCTCGGCTCTCCCAGTCTCTCTTCTAGTTTCTTCTCCTCTCCTCTTGTCTCTCCTGTTAGCTCCTCGTTTCTCCTCCTCCTCTCCTCCTCTCTCTTCTTTCATCATCTCTTAACTCTGCCAGTCTCTCCTCTCCTCTCCTCTCCTCTCCTCTCCTTTCCTAGTCTCTCCTCCTTTCCAAGGAGGGAAGCACTACTAACATGCAAAAGCGTTTCACACAAAATATGTGATAACTTAACTCTAAGTGAACGTGGTGTTGTTGACCCGCTCCAGACTTGTGAATTTCAGTGCAGCAGCAGCTCTTGTCCCTCTGGCGGCAGGTGTTGCAGATTAGCAACGTTAACACCTGCCTACCTGGTTACTCCACACACGTATTTCATGAGCATGTTTTAACTCAGAAGTACCCCTGAAGGACTTAGTTGTTCGTCCTTGTATCAAAACTTATTTTGAGCCTGAGAGGGTTAAACAAGGCCATTACAAACTTTTGCAAACATTTTGTAAACTTCTGTGACTGTCTCACCAACATTCTCAGGTCATTCTCCTGGAGACAAGCTCACAGTTAGAACCTGACCAGAGACTTTGTACAAAATCAGACAGCAGCGTATCACCCAAAGCTCCGGCTGGCTGGGTCTAACCTATGAAAAGGAGTTATTGCAGACCCCGTGGAGGATGAGGGGTGTGTGTGTAGAGGGGGGCACAACATGGCATGCTCCTTAAGCCATCAGGCATGGGGAGGGACGTCTAATTGAACATGATAAAGTGTAAAGTTAATTACCCCTCACGCCTGTCACTATAGCCCAATGGAGGGGCAGCTGCTTGTGTGTGTGTGAAAGAGAAGGGGAGACGAGACAAAAGCAGAGGGTTCCCATGAGGGTTGTGTGGTGGATGATGGCAACAATCATCTTCTAAAGATGACTGTGTCCCTCTGGTGCTCCGCGACTTAATGCGTCTGTCTCCATACGGGTGTCACCCAGAGCAGGACACAGCTGAGTTTCAGTAACACAGCAGGTCACATGACCCACGTTGTGATGAACTTGCCCCATCAGTAGTTGTAAAGTTCACATTTTTACATGTGCATGTGTGTGTGTGTGTGTGTGTGTGTGTGTGTGCGCGCGCGTGCGTGTGTGTGTGTGTGTTTTTAGGTGTCGGAGCTGCCAGTTTGGCCAAACTGACCTTCATGGTGGGGGGGCCAGAGGAGGAATTCAACGCTGCCCAGGAGCTGCTCAGCTGCATGGGAGCTAATGTTGTGTACTGTGGACAGGTGGGGACGGGACAGGTAAGACCTGGTGGACGAACATACTTTAATCGTCTCACTTTCTCTGCTTTTCTGACCTTGTCGGATCGTTTTTTGAGTTCCTCCTGTCCTTTCCCCTCCAGGCTGTAAAGCTGTGTAACAACATGCTGTTGGCCATTGGGATGATTGGGACTGCAGAAACCATGAACCTTGGCATCAGGTACTTGAGTCAGAATGCTAGCCTGCTAATCATCTGCTAGGCTGATAGCAAAAACCAACATCTGTAGCTTTGTTTACTCTGGGAGGGGGCCAGGCTCAGCAGGAGCGTTTAGAGCTGAGGGGGTGCAGGCTTGCCTCAGGTGACTCCTGGACATGTGACAGTAGGCAGAGACCTGGGGGCTAGCCATCAACATATATTTACTGGACAATTCCCGTCCATAGGCTCATATTATAAGTTTTTAATCTGAAATGGGAGGTGGCCACCACCACCATTTTGATTGTGTCACACATCTCGTCATGCCCAGACAATTCCATAAAAGGGAAAAGAGGTGGAGCTGAGGGTGGTGCTGTAAGGCTGGAATCAAATGACGACACCCGTCAAACTGAAGCAATGTAGCTACCCAAAGCTAACGCGGAGGTAGCTACCGAGCTACAACCGGAGTTAACTGTGCACAACACTGGAGCTTCTGAGTCAGAGATACGCCGGGCTGCCCGCTGGGGGAGGGAGTCCACACCGATAGTCGGAACCCAGCTCCACCAACACGTTATATTTCAACCCATTTTCTAAAATGCAGCGTTATGTTAAATGCACTGGGTTTCACCCTACCAAATTTAAAATTCATGGTTAAACAGTACATGTTAAAATCTAAGCTCAGCTAGTGCAAGAGCGGCAGTGACCTAAAATACATAAATATAATTTTACTTACCGAAAAAATGCTTGGACTTACCGTCCAGGTGCTTGCACGCTCAATTAGTGCAATTAATGCCACAGCAAGTCATTTTGTCCAACAATTGCACAAATAATATCCCAAAAAGAACGCACAAACGGCACAACTAATGGTCTAAGTTGTGAGACTGAAAATGGCAGAACAGTTTTCAGGTGAGGCCGAGGCTCAGACTGAGGCCTTTCCCCGGAGCTAGCTCTGCGGTCACGTGGGGCTGATGCTCATTAATTATACAGAATATAAAAAATTCACCCCCTCAGAGTTGTCATGAGTGTAAACTAGATCATTTGAACAAAAAACATGTTTTGGTACAAGGCTGTAAACATGTTTATTTCTGCAGTGGGTATTTGTAACATGGGAGTCGATGAGGATTTGCTCGCTTCTGACACCAGCCCCCAGCGGATGTGGGTGGAACTGCATTTTTTGTCACTTCCTGTTTTGCTTCATATCCAGACCCGAATTATGAGGGCTTGGGGCTAACCCAGAACACACTGGTAGAACTGGTTAGGTGCTAACGGTGCTAACCCAGAATGTTACACCCCAGGTGTGTGGGTGGGTGGGTGGGGGGAGGGAGGGGTGTTACATGGAGGACGTGTGACACAAATGATAAGTTAACAGAGGTTTCCTTATTTCTTTCTTTTTTTTTTTTGTAGCTTATTATAGAAAAAAGCCAAAATGGAACAAAAAGGGTCTTTTCCCCCAGAGATAAACATTTAAACAAAACAAGCTCAAACACTAAACTGTAACACAAAAAGGAACTAGCAAATAAAATCAAATAAATCAAATCAAAGCTTTATTTATAAAGCGCCTTCCGCAACCCTGTCAGGAAGCCCAAGGCGCTGAACATGGTACAGTACAAAGTTAAATAAAGTGAATAAATCAGAAAATAAAAGCAATTCAAATTACAGATTACAAATTACAAAAAAGGTGAAACATTCTAGTAGAAGACAAATGTGTAAAACAAGGGAAAAAGTGAACCAATGAAAACTGTGAGATAAAATCAACATAAAAGAGGGCCAAATTCAAACATGTTCAGGAAATGCCAAGCGGAGGAGGTGGGTTTTTAGGCGGCTCTTGAAGACTGGCAGAGATGGGGACAGCCTAACTGAGGGTGGCAACTGGTTCCAGAGTGACGGTGCTAGGACTGAGAAAGCCCGGTCCCCGCGAGTACGACACCTAGAACGAGGGACAGCGAGCAGGCCTTGGTCAGAGGAGCGCAGAGCACGTGATGGGGAATGTCTGTTCAGGAGCATGGCCAGATAGGGGGGAGCACCACCCTGGAAGAAATTACTCTAAAGAGAGCGCAAAATCTCAAAAAGGTAACAGATTACCCATAACTCTTATCACCACTCAATATCAAAGTCCTAAGTGGGAGACAATAGACCAGAGGAAAGGCTGCTCTGCACTATTGTCCCCATTGGTGAGGAGCCCCAGCAGGTCCTTTAAACAATCAGTGGCTGATGAAAACACGGCGCAGCTGGTGCAGGGAGGAGCAAGGGTGAGCAGACAGGCCTAGTCTGCAGGCACGTTCCTCAAATGCAGAATGAATGTGGGGAAAAAATGCACAGAAAAATGAAAACACAACACAAAAGGCTCCAGCCATAATACAGAACACGCTGGTAGTACTGGTTAGGTGCTAATCCAGAACACACTGGTAGTAAAGGTTAAGTGCTAACCCAGAACACGCTGGTAGTAAAGGTTAGGTGCTAACCCAGAACACGCTGGTAGTAATGGTTAGGTGCTAACCCAGAACACGCTGGTAGTAAAGGTTAGGTGCTAACCCAGAACACGCTGGTAGTAATGGTTAGGTGCTAACCCAGAACACGCTGGTAGTAATGGTTAGGTGCTAACCCAGAACACGCTGGTAGTAAAGGTTAGGTGCTAACCCAGAACACGCTGGTAGTAAAGGTTAGGTGCTAACCCAGAACACACTGGTAGTAAAGGTTAGATGCTAACCCAGAACACAGTGGTAGTAAAGGTTAGGTGCTAATCCAGAACACAGTGGTAGTAAAGGTTAGGTGCTAATCCAGAACACGCTGTTAGAAGTGGTTAGGTGCTAACCCAGAACACGCTGGTAGTAATGGTTAGGTGCTAACCCAGAACACACTGGTAGTAAAGGTTAGGTGCTAATCCAGAACACGCTGGTAGTAATGGTTAGGTGCTAACCCAGAACACACTGGTAGTAAAGGTTAGGTGCTAACCCAGAACACGCTGGTAGTAAAGGTTAGGTGCTAACCCAGAACACGCTGGTAGTAAAGGTTAGGTGCTAACCCAGAACACGCTGGTAGTAAAGGTTAGGTGCTAACCCAGAACACGCTGGTAGTAAAGGTTAGGTGCTAACCCAGAACACGCTGGTAGTAAAGGTTAGGTGCTAATCCAGAACACGCTGTTAGAAGTAGTTAGGTGCTAATCCAGAACACACTGGTAGTAAAGGTTAGGTGCTAATCCAGAACACGCTGTTAGAAGTGGTTAGGTGCTAACCCAGAACACACTGGTAGTAAAGGTTAGGTGCTAACCCAGAACACGCTGGTAGTAAAGGTTAGGTGCTAACCCAGAACACGCTGGTAGTAATGGTTAGGTGCTAACCCAGAACACGCTGGTAGTAATGGTTAGGTGCTAACCCAGAACACGCTGGTAGTAATGGTTAGGTGCTAACCCAGAACACCCTGGTAGTAAAGGTTAGGTGCTAACCCAGAACACGCTGGTAGTAAAGGTTAGGTGCTAACCCAGAACACGCTGGTAGTAATGGTTAGGTGCTAACCCAGAACACGCTGGTAGTAAAGGTTAGGTGCTAACCCAGAACACGCTGGTAGTAAAGGTTAGGTGCTAACCCAGAACACGCTGGTAGTAATGGTTAGGTGCTAACCCAGAACACGCTGGTAGTAAAGGTTAGGTGCTAATCCAGAACACGCTGTTAGAAGTGGTTAGGTGCTAACCCAGAACACACTGGTAGTAAAGGTTAGGTGCTAACCCAGAACACGCTGGTAGTAAAGGTTAGGTGCTAACCCAGAACACGCTGGTAGTAATGGTTAGGTGCTAACCCAGAACACGCTGGTAGTAATGGTTAGGTGCTAACCCAGAACACACTGGTAGTAATGGTTAGGTGCTAACCCAGAACACCCTGGTAGTAAAGGTTAGGTGCTAACCCAGAACACGCTGGTAGTAATGGTTAGGTGCTAACCCAGAACACCCTGGTAGTAAAGGTTAGGTGCTAACCCAGAACACCCTGGTAGTAAAGGTTAGGTGCTAACCCAGAACACGCTGGTAGTAAAGGTTAGGTGCTAACCCAGAACACGCTGGTAGTAAAGGTTAGGTGCTAACCCAGAACACGCTGGTAGTAAAGGTTAGGTGCTAACCCAGAACACGCTGGTAGTAATGGTTAGGTGCTAACCCAGAACACGCTGGTAGTAATGGTTAGGTGCTAACCCAGAACACGCTGGTAGTAATGGTTAGGTGCTAACCCAGAACACGCTGGTAGTAGTGGTTAGGTGCTAACCCAGAACACGCTGGTAGTAGTGGTTAGGCGCTAATCCAGAACACGCTGGTAGTAGTGGTTAGGCGCTAATCCAGAACACGCTGGTAGAAGTGGTTAGGTGCTAACCCAGAACACGCTGGTAGTAAAGGTTAGGTGCTAACCCAGATCACGCTGGTAGTAAAGGTTAGGTGCTAACCCAGAACACACTGGTAGTAAAGGTTAGATGCTAACCCAGAACACAGTGGTAGTAAAGGTTAGGTGCTAATCCAGAACACGCTGTTAGAAGTGGTTAGGTGCTAACCCAGAACACGCTGGTAGTAATGGTTAGGTGCTAACCCAGAACACACTGGTAGTAAAGGTTAGGTGCTAACCCAGAACACGCTGGTAGTAAAGGTTAGGTGCTAATCCAGAACACGCTGGTAGTAATGGTTAGGTGCTAACCCAGAACACACTGGTAGTAAAGGTTAGGTGCTAACCCAGAACACGCTGGTAGTAAAGGTTAGGTGCTAACCCAGAACACGCTGGTAGTAAAGGTTAGGTGCTAACCCAGAACACGCTGGTAGTAAAGGTTAGGTGCTAACCCAGAACAGGCTGTTAGAAGTAGTTAGGTGCTAATCCAGAACACACTGGTAGTAAAGGTTAGGTGCTAATCCAGAACACGCTGTTAGAAGTGGTTAGGTGCTAACCCAGAACACACTGGTAGTAAAGGTTAGGTGCTAACCCAGAACACGCTGGTAGTAAAGGTTAGGTGCTAACCCAGAACACGCTGGTAGTAATGGTTAGGTGCTAACCCAGAACACG